TGAGAAACACTCTCGTCCTTTTTTTTCTTGAGCCACAGAAAGTGTGACTGCACTGGGAACATCCTGTTTGTAGGCACTCATTTCCTGTTTTTGACGACAGGCATCTGACTTGAACATGTTAGTGGTTATTGTTTATACAAATGATCAAATATAGAATTTATGTTCTTTGTTGTGCAGTGGCAGACTATAATAGGTCAACTCAGTTTGGATATGTAAAATAGTCAAAGTGTGAACTTAAAGGACCTATATAATTCCATGCCTTTTTTATATCCACATACTCAGCCTATTATAGTTTAGTCCCACCCATTCACATTGAAATTATAAGGAGAGTTTCAGCCCAGACTGCTTTTTGAATGAGGCACAATATAGAGCGGCCAGTCAGAACAGAGCTCTTACATACATCAAAGGCATGGTCACCAAAACATCATGTTTATTTATAAGGATAAAGAAAGGTTGAAATGGTGATGCAAAACTTAATTATGACTGTCTTTAGCACAAAAAACACACAAAAAGCTAAAAAAAAAATGTAGGATATGGGCCCTTTGAAATTACTACAATTTCAAACAGTATAATGACCAACTGATAACTTGTCTCACACGTTCTGTGTAAATAGTAACCGGCAGAGCTGGAGGGATCGATCGGCTAAGTATCGGTATCGGTCGATTTTCAGCCAAAATATGCGATGAGCCGATATTTCTCTAACATGAACTTAACCTAACTGGCAGCTGATCAGTGACGTAAAACATATCAGGCATATTTCACCTGAGGCGCCAAAATTCAAACAAACTTGTTTGAATAGAAAATTCAAACAAGAAGCTGGTGAATAGGAGGCCAACCTCAGCCTCATCATATCTATTTCACCAATAAAAAAACATTTCTGAAGTATTTTACATATTAGGCTTCTATTTCGCTGTAAACTGTGCGAACATGCAGAGCTGTAATTCACGCGGTTTGTCCTCCAAGCTTTGAGGATTCGTCTCTGTTAGCACGTTAGCATCCGAGCGCTAATGTTAGCTTAGCTTACACTGCACTAGCTTTATGACCTACGGCTTTGACAGGGACTGAAATAAAAATAAAACGCTGAACTACAAAAGTAATCGTGTGTCAGCCATTTAACATTTTCAGTACATTTTAAAACCCACCCGTGAAGCAGGAGGACTGTTTTTTCGTGTTGGCTGTGCCAGTTGTGTGGGCTCCGGTTATTTCAATGGTAACGCTACCGTGAGGCACCAGAATGATGCTGCTGCACCATTTAAGGTGGAACCGGAAAATTCGACCAAGAAGCTGGAAAAAAAGAAGCTGAACTCTGCTGTCGAAAGAATTGAAGGCATGAAAAGGGATCAAAGACGAACAGTTGCGCTGTTTCTGGGTGATAGGTTGATAACAGTAACTTATTTTTGCTGTGTCACAAAATCAGTAGGGTCAGTGCTGTTTTGTCCTATTTGTTAATGTGGTTGTGGTTCGCAGCAGCAACTGTTGTGACAGTTTGCTAACCCACAACCTAACTAGCTAACGTCGGTTAGCTACGTTACTTCTTCTGTTGTTCGCTCTAACGTTATATCATGGCATTTGTCTGTCCGACGTTTATAAAGGGTTTTATGGCCGTTAAGATGAAAAATATCGTTCGCCTCGGAAGTGCGCTTATACGAGCTTGGGGGCAGACCTTCTGAAGGAGCACTGAAGGGAGGGGTGTATTTGTTTTGCTGTTGAGAGTCGTTTCTGCGCCTTCAAATGTGGCGTCCAGACCCGCCTTCGATCAGTAGCGACTATCGTGTTGAAAGGCGATCCGGCCCCCAAAACACTGATCGGTCTATCTCTACTTAACTCTAGTGAAAGTAAGTTAACACATCCTGTATGGATAACAAACATTTTAATGTACAATTACTGTTTGCTGAATTTAAGACACTGGGAAAAAATAAAACATATAATGTGGCCTGTGCAAAAGCTAAGACCCAGCAAATAAATAGAATATGTGCACTAAAGCCTGCAGATCCATATTTAAGTGTATTCACTCTAGAGAATGTTAACTTATTTTCACTTAGAAAATCAACAGAAACATGTCATTTGACTGAAGATGTTCAAACGTTTGCATATGACTGTACTATCATATACTATTTCACATACTATTCTGTGATACATCACTTAATTGTACAACAGCAGTTTTCACAGAACCTCTTGTATTTGTGAGACGGAAACCTATAACCAGTTTTCTGTCAAAACACTTTCATTTCTCAGGCTACATTTGACTGCAGCAGACGAAACCTGACATCAGTACCAGAACAGATATGGCCAAACGTGACCAAGCTGGATCTATCGGAGAATCACTTAGACCTCGCCCGTTCTAATGGCCTGAAAGAGCTGCAGCACTTTGACCATTTGATCTCACTCAATCTATCAGGAAACTACCTCCCCCTGCTGGGGAAGCAGCACTTCTCCCCTCTCTTATCTCTGCAAGTACTGGACCTCAGTGGATGCAAACTGGCTGCAATAGAGGCTCATGCCCTGTTGAGCTTCCCCAGGTTACAAAAGCTTTATCTGAGGAATAATTATCTGCAAACTCCCCTGTCGGCTATATGGACTGAGTTTGTGGATATCAGCAGTAATCTTCAGTCAAAGAACAGATTCAAAACGATTGAGAGAAGAAGAGTTTATAAGCAGACGGCTGAGGAAAGACAGTCTAATGGTGTGTATAAACATATTTTGTCTTCATCTATGTCTTGATTAGTGTATGTTTTAACTGATTTTTTTTTAAGAAGTGTCGACCTTGGTCACATTTATCAAACATCTAAGAGTAATCCTGATTATCTCAGGGTGGCCATATGTTTAATCAGAGTGCCCTCATGTTTTTTAATCCACATAATTGTATTAATTAGGATGTAAAAGGTCACAACTTGATCCTACATTAGCACTTATTGTTCGGACCAGTTTGATAAACGTCTCAGAATAATCAATAGTGAGCCAGGATCAAGAATTTGACCTTTTACATCCCAATGGCCCGGGCCCTGCGTTCTTCCATCAGAATTTTAGATAACCACAATTAAATTAAGGAAGACATTTTTACCAATATTAAAGGTCACCATTCTTTCCCTTCTTTTGACATAGGAAATGCTCTTAGCATAATCACTGAGAGTCACTTCCATCGTAAACTGCTGGCAGAGACCTTGGTGGTCACCACTGATGCAAACACAACCAACAAAAACGGTTGGTTATTTTTTTTTGTGTATGTCGTTTATGTTTGTGTTCATACTCATTTAGAATCTGTCTGGTAAAATGAACAAAAAAGCCACTTGGAAAAAAACTCATATCTCACAATTAAGACTCACATTTATGGGATAGTATTCCATTATTATGAGATACACTATCTTTAATAGGATAATAAGACTAGTATGAGACTTTCTTGTTATTGTAACTTAGTAAATGGCTTATTTTTTTCTAGTGGTGAAAACAGGCTTCGCTATCACCATAAAAAAAGCTATGAAAACAGCAAAATACCAATATTTTAGAAACTCATCACTAGTTAGATGCTAACTTACTCATTTGTTCTGAGAAGAACCAGAGTAGCGAGTTTTTCATTAACTTGTGCTACTATCTCCTTACAGACACTGACAATGGTCTGAAAAGTGCTTCAGGCAGCTGGAAGCTCCTAGTCGCCATTTTGGTCACAGCCATCGTCATCTCCATCCTCATCGCTGTTGGTGCAAAGTGTAAAATCTTGCACAGGTACTTGGCCAGTTACAGGCATTCGAGGCTGAGTGAAACTGACACATCCAGTCACTGCGATCCTTCTAGCTTTGAGGTGGGCTTCTCCAGCCAGGCCCACTCAGGGAGGGGCACACATTCAGGCTCAGACGAAGGGGGTGAGATGGAGGAGGACGACGATGGCTTCATTGAGGACAATTACATTCAGGCCAGTGAGAGGGAAAGAGCAGAAAAAGAGGCAGAGAAGTGGGACAACGAGGAGGACGAAGAAGACGAGGACGAGATGGAGTTCACCATTGGCTAGCTGAAGGAGAACTGTAAGAGCTTTGGGCTGACACTAGGGGGAGCCACTTACAATATTTGCGATGATGATGGAAGCAGCAGGACTTTTTATAAGCTTATTTATGACACTGGTTCTTTCTTTACTTTTATTCATTTTTCGTGTACCATGTTAACTTTGTGAAATAATCAGTCCATTCATGTCCAACAAGTAAATTTAGTTTAAAATTGAACTTGTTCTGATAAGTAATGAGACTTTATGTAGTTATACAGTAGATGAATATCTAGCAGTACCCCATCTGAGTTTTTTATTATGACATTTTCATTTTCACTTTACAATCAAATTTCTATTTTCTGTTGTTTTGTTTTGTTCAGTCGTCTCAAATGGCTTAAAGACTAAATTTACTATTATAACCTAAGTGAAAAACTCATTTTTTAGTCATATAGTTTAATAGACTTTTAAAGTTCATCATATTTGTACTCTGGCAGCCTCACAGAACATATGGGTCTAAGAAATCTCTCATGTGGACATGTAAGGGTTAATAACTCGTATGGGCTCGAGTTATTAACCCACCTCGATTTTTGACTGCCTTTTCACTCCTTTTAAGCTTCACTGAATAAAAGTCGTTTTAAAGAAGCGTTTTGTGCTCTTTCTCGTCGTCCCGGGTATTTAAAATGTCCCTCAGCGGCTCCAAACAGTGTCAAACAGTTCAGGACTGTGAGTGAAAGTCGTGATGCTGGAGCTGTTTGTGAGCGCTCCGCAGGGGGGCGTTCAGTTTCTGACATAAACCGCTAAAATCCGACTGCGTTTACCGAGTGAATCCCCGCTTTAAGCAGAACTCCGGGCGCTGCCGGGTCGTGTGGAGGCGGTAAACTTCTCACGGACTGAGGCTGAATGTGAGTGTAAAGCTGACGGAGAGCCTCATCTGGCGAAAAGCTGAAAAACCGGATCGACGCCTCAGCACCCGGAAGAGCGAGCGACGCGCGAGGGATGGAAACATCGGCTCGGTTTTCTTCTGCAGACGTGAGATAAAACCGTAAAACTTCCTTCTCTGTTGCCTTCCGTTGTCTTCACACATTAACGTGGGCAGAATGGCAGCCTCCGCTATCTTCATCCTGGACCTGAAAGGCAAGGTAGGGTCGCAGTGAGACACAGGACCACCGGCAGGTCAGAAGTGAGTCTGCACCTGTCGGAGAGAAAGAGGGATGGACTAAAACCTACACATGTTGCTCTCACGGAGTAGCCTAAATAATGCCAATATGCCTGTAGTGTCTAAATACGGAGACTGACCACAGAAGCACATGTACGTGGCGCTAAAATACGTAGATAAACTGTTTCTGAGGGAAGTTGAACGTGGAGGACTTCACGTGATAGACGGACGAGCAGCCAGCCTCAGAGTAAAAGTAGTGCAAAAGTAAAGGTGGATTCTGCTAAAGGTAAAATTAGAAGAGCTCAAAAGTAAAAGCAGTGCTAAAACGCAGAGTAAACGTAGTACTTCGAGGTTAAAGTGGTGTAGTTTAGAGGTGAAAGAGGTAGATTTTAAAGATAAAAGTAGTATGACTGGTTTCCTGGACCAGAATAAAGAGGAAGTGATTTTTCCAAAATTCTACATAATTAAATGCAAATAAAGTCGTTCAGAGTTGTTTGGTGTGAAATGTTCTGTTGGAGAAACTTGCCGAGTCAGAATTGTTCACAGTGGTGGTGATAGGAACCAGACGACCACCTCTAAAAGCTCCCTCACAGAAAGTTATTGCATGAAATGGTTAGATATATGCTACCTGATATCTGACACATTGGTATATGGTAGTTTCGTGGTTTGGCTTAAAATGCATTTAATGCATTTCAGTCCATTCAAGGGGTACACACAGGGCGTTGCAAGACAAAATAGTCCCCCAAAGAAACTTATTTAGCCAGATTTTAATATCATCAGCATTACACATAGACCTAAAAATCAGAAGACACTTGTAGATTCACTGGTGGTTTTGGATAGTAAATAAAATGGCTGTATCGGTGTTGTAGACATGGCGACCCCTAGTCCCCATCACCAACACTGTACAGAAATCATAGTCGCTACAATGAACCATTTCGCATCAAACCACTCTGAATGGCTGTTCACATCTGAAGGACTGAATTATTCACACATGTTGAAAAATTGGTGGAATTACCCTTTAAGCCTTGACTAATAAGTCTTTTTAATGGTGAATGACTTTTGACATTTGAGTTTAGGACAAGGCTTAATTCATGTTCAGGAAACTGACTCACAGTGTTTAAAGGTAAATGCAGAGTAGTTTTTCGAAGTAAGTGCAGTCTAGTTTAATGGTAAAAGATGTAGAATTTAAAGGTGAAAGTAGTTGCGTTTAAAGGTAAACAGAGTAGAGCTTTGAAGTAAAATGGTGTGTAAAAGTGAAGTGTTTAAGGTAGAAGGAGGGTAGTAGGCCATGTGAAAGTGAAAACAGAGAAGTGTTTAAAGGTAGAAGTAGACTAGTGCTTAAACCGCAGAGTAGTATTTCAAGTTAAATGTAGAGCACTGTTTCAAGGTAGAAGTCATTGGTTTAAGGCCATCGAGAAACAGTTTTAGTGTGGAGTACTAACCAAACTTGTTCTGCCCCACCACCACAGGTGGCATAACTTTAATGACCTGGAAGTGAAATGATTGAAACCAGGTTGGGGTTGGCCTAGCCCTGTTTACATGTTAACTACTGTTTACATGTCTCCTAATGTATCAAATATGTGTATCTAGTATTTTCACTTGCCATCTCATCCATTCTTTCATTATTTTAAACTGGGTTACATGATAAATTGGAGGCATTACTTGAAAAGCCATTGTGCTAGTTTAGTATAGAACAGTCTCTTTTAGTTAGGGATAATATAGGCTACCTCTGAGAGAGAAAGAGAAAAAGAAAAAGAAAAACCAAGGCCAAGAAGTGAGGCAACCAAAGGGCTTTAGTTGAATGGATTACTCTCTGATATAGGTGCGACCCCTGGCAGTGCTGATGAAAGCTTTCTTGTCTGTGCCCTAGAGCAATCCAATATCTTTTACCTTAAGGCATCTCTGCTCAATCGACATTATATTAGCAGACACTCTTTGATTTCTTAGTCATGTGTCTTTTTCACATCTAGCACACTATTTTTTACCTACTGTAATATTAGATTTCTGAGTTTTTTTTTCTTGTAGTTTTTAAATTAAATGGCATATTCAAAGAGGAGAAGTGAAGGTGCTTCAACTCCTTCTCCCTTTGATTGGTTGTTATTGACTTTACCTTCACATGAAAGGCTCGGCTCTCATTAAGAGAGATCATATAGGTAGTTGATATCGATTAGATTACCAGGCATGACCTAATTACGCTGTTAAAAGAAAGCAAAAGATACAATACCATGCTGACTGGTAAATATAGTTGTAGTTAAGCTCAGGCCCTAAGTGTTCAGCATGCAGTTGTTTCAACGTCATATGTGTTAAAATGTGATTTTATTCAAACTCAACATTATAGCAGGTAATATAAACCAATAAACAGAGCACAGCTTAAACATTCATGACAAAATTATATTTTTTGGAACATGTTTCACAGTGATATAAGCATGCCCAGTGCACTGGATAAAAACATGAGCAGATTGTGATAAGATCAATTAGGATTATGTCATTTCAGTGCACATGAACAGTGTTCAATGTTTTCAACCCAGTTCATTTACAATGTTTGATTCCCATCATGGGCGGCACAGTGGCGCAGTGGGTAGCGCTGTCGCCTCCTAGCAAGGAGGGCCTGGGTTCGATTCCCGGCCAGGTGACCAGGGTCGTTTCTGTGTGGAGTTCACATGTTCTCCCCGTGTCTGCGTGGGTTTCCTCTGGGCACTCTGGTTTCCTCCCACAATCCAAAAACATGCAGTCAGGCCAATTGGACAAGCTAAATTGCCCCTATGTGTGTGAATGTTTATGTCTGTCTGTCTGCCCTGCGATGGACTGGTGACCTGTCCAGGGTGTATCCTGCCTTCCGCCCAATGACAGCTGGGATAGGCTCCAGCACTCCACCGCGACCCAGAAGGATAAGCGGTTTAGATGATGGATGGATTCCCATCATTTATAACTACGCCCAGCACAACCTTGATGATTTCGTTATTACTGAGAAATTTAATGCTTCTGGGCAGCTTCTTACTGGGCTTAAATGTAGTGCAGCGACGCAGTCGTTTTCAAACCCCCTTTAAATCTCCTTTTCAAAAATGGAAAAGTCACGCACGTCTTTTGATGTTCTATAACGAAAATAAATAAATTCAAATCTCACAAACCATTCTTTCTATCAGATTTTATTGATTTTCTTTTGCTTTCCTCTGAATCAGTTTAAGGCAGAATTAGCGTATTGGTACACCGCTAACGGAAACGTACAGATTATCATTTGATAACTGTGTTCTCATGCTGTTGCTTTTACTGCGCAGAGTGCTTCTGATCACACAGTATGATAAACAGCAAGGTAAAGGCATTCCATCGGTAGATCAGTTTTTGAATTCTAACCACAAATTTGGTAGTATTTTCAAGTTTTGTTTTATAGCTTTTATGAAAAATAGATGCTATTCTATGGACTTGTTCTGAAAAGATGATTGAAAATCATGTGGAAATATATATACTTCATATCCAAAAGTATCCAGTTAGTGAATTTAGCTACTTTAATGCACACACAGTTTATATGCTGTAATCTCTATAGAACAGCCAATAAAATTGGGTGCTCTGGGGCAGCCAGGCAGGGATGTCCAAACTTATCTGCAAAGGGCCAATGTGGCTGCAGGTTTTCATTCCAAAAATTATAATTTTAGCTTTATAAATTTGAACTAAAATGTTTTATATTACAATTATCAAATGCATATCTAAAAAGCACCATGAAATAGTCCTTCAGGTATATATTTAAGTAATAAAATCGCTGTCCAGAAAAACCTGTATCTCCAAAATGGCAGCTTTACAGGAGAAGGCAAAAACATTCTTTACTTTCAATGTAAATTAATGTAAAAATATTTTATTCCAAGCAGTTCTGTAGCATTTTGTTTGTCCATTCATCATTAAATTGTCACACAATGTAAAGGGCAGCTGCTCTGGTCAAGTGATGAAGAAAAATAACATTTTTGGACAGTGATGATATATAATATATCACCATAATTACTGGTTTTATTTTAGAGCAAAAGAGCTTGATTTACTGACCAAACCACTAATTTTGCAGTAGCTCTTTTGTAATACTTAATGTTCTAAGCCGAAACAAAATCTTCAGTACACAAAATATGTTCAGCACAACATATTTTCAGTGACTGTTTCCATTTTGTTTCTTATTTCCTGATTTTCGCTCGTCCCTATCTGACCTCTGCGCAAATATTTTTTCTTTAAAAAAGTAATGAAGTTTATTCATAAGTCTAGATTCCTCCAAGATGATTTTTATATTATTGCTCTGAGAGGTCAGCAGATATTTGACTCACCCACTCACTCACTCACTCGTGCTGACTCAACCTTTTTTCCTCTGATGAAATAAGACTGGTTTTGATAATATCTCTTGTAAACAGCAACTGAACGTCCGTCCATCCATCCATCATCTAAACCGCTTATCCTTTGCATAATTTTACCATCTGCTAACATTAGGCACTAATTTTCTGATCAATAAGAATGAATCTGTATGAATGGATGAACAGCATGTTTTCTTTATGCTATTTATATAACTCGCAAACAAGAAGAAATATGTAAAATATGTCATTGATTTTTGTATTAGTGTATGATTTAAGTAGCCTGATTTAACTGTCACCCCTCTAGGTGCTTATATGCCGAAACTACATGGGCAACATTGACATGAGTGAGATTGACCACTTTATGCCCATCATGATGAAGAGAGAGGAAGAAGCAGAGCTATCGCCGCTTGTGACGCATGGCTCCACCCACTTTTTATACATTAAACACAGCAACCTCTACTGTATCCTTTATAAGTAGCTCATTTGATAAGCAGCGACAGTGTCTTTCTTATTTCTTATTGCTATGGCTAATGTGTATGATATTTTTGTCATAGCTCTGCACATAAATCCTTGACAGTTGGTACTCAGTGGTAGCAATGACCAAGAAGAATACAAATGCTGCCCTTGTGTATTCCTTCCTGTACAAAATAGTGGAGGTAAGTGTGCTTTTCACACATCCCTGTCTGGAATGCATAATCTGTAAATATTAATGGTTTGTGTGACTATGTGGATGTATTAGTGGGGAGATAGTAAGTGGATGAATTTTAATTGAGGACTCTACAGGCAATAAAGTATTTTTCAGCTCCACTAACAGAATAAAATATTTTTAAAAAAAGTTGATTTACTGCATTCTGATTTTGTTTAAAAAAGCTCTTACCTAACCTGTATGGACCAGTATAATCTTTATATGATTCTTTGCAGTATGGTCACAAGTAATTTTTTTACGGTATATAGGGACTGTATATAAACTCTCCATTAGTACACTTGATGTTGGAAGAAACATTGAGTGTCTACACACTTCTGGACATATTTGGTTCTGTTGTAGGTCTTCAAAGAGTATTTTAAATCCTTGGAGGAGGAGAGCATACGAGACAACTTTGTGACTGTGTATGAGTTATTGGATGAGGTCATGGATTTCGGGTTGCCTCAGACCACTGACAGCAAGATCTTACTAGAGTGAGTACTGGCTGATTCACTGTTCATTATTCATCATTCCAACGGGCACCATCCACCACTATTCACAGCTCAGCATTCACAGGCTCCCTGTACTCCCTATTCATTCTCTGTGAACTGAACATAGTTTTACAAACAGAGGTCTGCTTCAGCTTGCTCATATAGACACACACTCTGGCAAGTGAGGTATTTCTAATGTTTCTGATCATAAACGGACATGCATCATCACAACAGAATCTGCATTATGTAGTGATAAATGTAGGATAGCAGATGTATTGTATGATTGTAGGAGCCAAACAGGACAACACAGTTTTCCTTTGGAGACTAAAGAAATGAATCTTGTGCTATATGCTCATTAAGAAATATTTTCATAGATTAGTTTTTTTTCTTCCTTAACTTTGATAAGCAGCTACAAAGCACCTTTGATTGACTTATTTATCACATTTATCAGTATTGATCAGGTCCATTTTGCAGTTAACTGTGTGCAATCTCTGATTGTCATCAACACAACGCTTTGTCAGCTGAACCTACATCTGGTCTACATAAAAAGAACACATACTACATAGGCAACAGACAGCCCAACATATAACATATGTAATCAAGATATGCATTTATATTGGCTGTTGTTGTATGCAAACCTTTGTTTTGTTGATGATAAAAAATAAGTTAACACAACCTTCTACAGCGAAAAAAATCAAATATGCATATTTTGCAACTTGTCTGCAAAAGTTTGATTTATTTGCTGAGTTTAGCATAGAAAATATAAAATGTGCCATAACTTTTGCGCAGGCCACATTTTATGTTTTTTCCCCAATATGTTCAGTAAATAAACAAAATTGTGCTTTGAATGTGCATAAGTGTGTTCCCTTTAGAACATGTGTTAACGTATTTTTACTTCAACAAAATATGCAATTTGACCAGGCACCCAAACTTTTGCTTTCGACAAACAATTCTGTGTTGTTGAATGGTTAAAAATAAGCCTGAAGGATTTTATTGATTTGAATTTTTGACATTTTCCAATTTAAGAGAACAAATTCTCATCATCACAACACAAAAAAATGATTATTTTTTTTTCTCAAGTTTTCTTTTCAATCTGTGTACTGTTATCAGACAGAGCATTTAAAAGCTAATTACTAAAAACATATGTGTTTTACAAAATAAAACATCTTGCAGTTTTATCTCATTACTACACCATATTGACAGCAATTGAGGTTTTTCTTTTTACTTGTGCCACCTAACCTTCTGTTCTTCTGGTTCACTTCCTTAGAATTCACAATGAAAGCATTAAAGAGATTCAACAGTCAAAAGTAATACAAACGTAATAAAAAAATTATAAATATTGAGCATGAGAAACATTCGTGGACACATTGTATTAATGAGAATTAGGGTAAAAATAATTAAAAAAAACAAAAATTATAATAATTTAGCTTTTTGGTGTACCATATAGGCTGTTTCATGAAAATGATCAAAAATACTATAATGCAGTCACAACCTCTCTCACATCTTCTTAATAGTGACTCACACACAAACCACACTTTTTAGACTCACAGTTTTTAGACTCACTCATTTACTCACACTTTTTAGACTGAGAAGTATTTGTATGTGTACATCATATAGGTGATGGAAATGGAAAGTGGAAACAGGTTTAGCTGTTTGTCTGCTTATGTGTCTCTATGGACATATATTTTACTCCCTGGAGTCTCCGGCTGCACTTTCATCACACCAACACAACCGCTTTGTTTACTGACTCAACAGCAGCCACGTATCTCACCACTTCTGTGAAATATCTTGTGCAGAAATAATTTCTTCTGCATTGTGCTTATTTATTTACAATTGAAACTTTCTGTGACCTGGTGTCTTTCAAGTATTTTAACATTACCTGTGGTCTTTTCAGTCTTTTCAGCCTAATTTGCTGGGCTTGTGTACTTGGCAACTTCTTACCATAATGAATTAAATGTGAGAGTGGGCTTATGCAGTTTTTCAGTTTTAAATAACCTCATAATGTGTCCCCTGAAATCATATCTGATATCTGATTGTATAAATGTTTTGACCTTTGTTTATATTTTGTTAATAATAAATGCTGATTTTTGGTTGTTGTTCAACTCTGTGTCAGGTATATCACCCAGCAAGGGCATAAACTGGAGGTTGGGGCTCCTCGCCCACCGGCAACGGTTACCAATGCAGTGTCCTGGAGGTCAGAGGGCATCAAGTATAGGAAAAATGAAGTGTTCATGGATGTCATTGAGTCTGTCAACTTACTGGTAAGTTCACTTAAAGGTAATATCTACATTTTCATTTTGTAGTCATGGTTCTGTGTTGCACTTCTTAGATAAACTATATAGGAGTGAAGGTTAATTTAAAAATGCATGCCGTTGATCCTTATCAAGTGAGCGCACAGTGTGGAGATATGAGTTAAGGGAATTGAGAGATCTGTCTGTTCTTGTTCTCACTTCTAATGAAAATAGCAGTCTAAAAATAATCATTTTCTTCTAGTTGATTCCTTATAACCACTGCTGTCAACAAGCTTACTCTGCTGCTTTTATCAGCAGTCATTTGCAAAAGTTTGAACACCCCAATCTACTTACATGTTTTGTTGATTTGAAATTTGTTGAAGTGAAAATAAGCTAACACATCATCTACAGGGAGCCAACTTAAATATGGCATTTTTCTGTAAATGTTAGTGTACAGTTTCTATTTATTTGCTGAATTTAACATGTTGGAAAAAATAAAACATAAAATATAAAATGTACCATAAATTTGCGCAGATCACATTTTATGTTGTATGTTTTTCAATATGTTAAATTCAGCAAGTCATTGTGCACAGTCATTGTGCGTTAAAATGTGCAGAAGTGTGCTTTGTAGATGATGTGATAACTTATTTTCGCTTCCATTTGACTTGGGGTGTTCAGACTTTTGCATACAACTGCGTTACTTGTTAATCGTCATCGTGATTTTGGCCTTTGCAGTCCTGATTTCACAGAAGGCAGAAACATGCAAATAGGAATTTTAATCAATCACAGTGTGTTTTACTGTATATTGACCACAGTACAGTGATCACAGTACTCTGACTAATTAGAGGTCCAGATGATGAATATTGCAAGGCACAATCCCAATATGTCGCTTTATATTCACAGTGTTGTGTCCGTATCATGCATCTTAAATTCTAATCTGTACCCTCGCACTATCATTCCTTTATTTAGTGTACCTTAAGTTACCTTCTTTCATATTCTTCTCAAGGTCATAGTTTCCAGACTTCAATTATCTAACACAAGTAATTACATATTGCAAGACACATCACAATCCCAATATGTCGCTATATCATCACATTACTAATATTGTGTCCATATCTGTACTTCTTTATCATTCCTTTACTCAGTATACCCTAAATTACCTTTCACTTTCTTCTCAAGGTCATAGTTTCTAGAGTTCCGTACTTTGAATGATAGAAGAGACTTTGATTGTTTTTCTCTGCTGTTCCTCTTGCTTGCTTTATTCTGCATCCTGTCCCAGGATGAATGTCCCTGGATCTTGGTGTACTCCTCAGGCTGTGATTCTGAAAGGCAGCCCACAGCAGCTCTCAGGAGCACCGCTCTGTCTGATTAACAGCAGCCCCACGTTTCATTGCTTTCTAATGGGGCATTACCATTCACATTACCATGCAGCTTTCTCTGGTTGACTTTTTCTCCTCTGCTGCATTTTTGGGACTTGTGGTGCTTTAGGGTTTATTTGGTGTCCTTATCTTTAATTATTGTTTTAATTGTATTAATATTATGAATATATGATTATTACCATATGGTATATATTTTTTGGAAATAATTGCAGTTGATAATGATTATGGAGATGAAGTTTTACCCCACACACATACTTATATAATGTCTTTCTCATTGTGTCACTGTGTTTCTTTCTTGGTGTTGTACCAGGTCAGTGCTACAGGCAGCGTCCTGCGCAGTGAGATTCTGGGCTGCATCAAACTGAAAGTGGTTCTCTCAGGCATGCCTGAGCTGAGGCTGGGGCTCAATGACAAAGTGCTCTTCGAGATCACTGGCAGTGAGTGACCATATTTACTTATTAGAAACCGGTCTTGTCCACGAACAACAAATTGAGTGTCAGTAAATATTGTGATAGTTAAAATACAAAAAAGAGTTACACATTTGTATTACTAAGTTGAGCACTTTATTAGCCTGACAAAACATAGAGAGAAGGAATACAAGGGAAGGAATTAAGGCATTATGTTTTGTTTATATATATTTACATTCAATATTGTGCAGCACAACATTACACAGTGAACGCTTGGTTAAGGACTGGACTGCATTATTATTCACCCAAATTATTTATGTTTATTTGATTGTTAGTTGTTGATTCATCCAAACATCCAAAGAAACGTCCATGACCAATATCCGTGGTCAGGATGCACACATCACCTGACAAAACACTCATATCACATTTGCATATTGTGCATTTACGCAATATCAACACTATGAAGGCCAATTTCACAATAACAGTGAAGGAATAGTCTATTGTGCAGCCTTAGTGTGTGTACAAAGACCTAATTTTACCCCAGTCAGGGCAGGCAGTTCATTCTCTACCTATCGTATTTGTACTCCATTGGTAGCTTCCCTCCCATCTGTTTCTTTTCCTTAATCACCACCGCAGGCTTTTGCACAGCAGGTGTCAATCACCCTAAAGATCAGCTCCCACTTACGCATTCATCCCCACATCCAGACCAAGCTGGAGCAGAGAATAAATCCATTTCAAGTGCTACTAATGCTAGAAATGTTACCCCATCAAATTGGACGATAAACAAGTCATTAAATGAGTTTACCACAAAGGACAGAAGGGCACAAACATGCTGTAACATTGAGAGTTCTTTGACTGGAAAGAAAAACAGTATTATCAGAAGTTGGAGGAAGTGATGCAGGCACATTGTCTTCCTGATGTACTTCCTACTACGAATCTATAATCCAAATGTAGAGAACTTCTTCTAACTGGTTACAACATCCTAATCTATGATCATCAGGTGGCAATATGAAACCAGTGATGCATATTTTTTAAATGAGGGAAACACTGCTCTCTGCAGGACAAGATAGTTAAATATCTATTTAAACAGGGACTCGATAGAAAGATGTTCTTGGGATCACTGGCATTGTGTATTATGAGAATGTTAGACAAAAACAAAAAGGTGGAACGAGGAACTATGTCTATAACCAAAGCCAGACAAGATGACAGAGATCTATTTGGGGCCACTTAAATTGTAACACAGACTCATCTTTGTTTAGTGACACATTGCATTTATTATGATTTTCTTCATGATTTTCTCATTTTTGACAGTCTGCTTGGGACAGTTTCAATTAATACACAACCCCATCAGTATTTGTTGACAAATTGCATTGTACATTATTTTTTTAATCATTTAGTCATTTAGAACTCAGTTTTGCTAAAATATTATACCAAACTCTTAAATACCCAGAGTACTCAGAGACGATAAACAAGTTAGTTCTGGAGTGACTAATTTGGGACACCAATCAGCTTTTCTCACTTTTGCTGGCACTGGACCCTGGGGAACCAATCAGGAGGCATTAGACTGAGAGGTCACACCTCTGTATGACCTTTAGATGGCATCAGTGAGTGTTTGAGTATGAGCAATGAGGGCTGGGTCCCAGCAGGCCTTTCCTGCTACTGAGGGAACACAGAGACTGCTGAGCTGTGCCTTCCAGTGCACTCCGCACAGCCCTTTTATGCTCGCCTGTAAATGTCAGTGATACAGACAAAGAGAATTAGACACTCTAGACAAGGGCACACTTTATATAAGAACTGTCATACAAGTACCCAGAATTCAGCAGGTTTAAATGCTCATATAAACACCAACTGCATCCTTTTCTGCTGCTTTGTTTCCCTTCTTTGGCCCAACCCCACATACACACAAATTCACACTCACACAACCACACAGCAATCCCAGTTCCATGCTGTGAAAGGTCCATTTCACAGACTGGAGCTCAGAGCGCAGTGTTGAATTCCCAAAGCTCACTGGTATTAGGGACTTTAGGACACTCCCAGGCTCTGAGTCATTAAAAGCCTGCTCTACAGCTGATGCCTTCTCCTGCTCGCAGGTCAAACACCCTGCAAGAGCCAGCAATCACACAGGCACTTTCCTTTGTGTTTCCTTTAGGCTATATCTGCAGGCCGAATTAAATTAAAACAAAATATCGGAACACTTTAATATAATCTACTTTATACACTTCCATGATGTTTTACTGCACATGATTTATTATTTGTATTTCATTTGCATCCTGTCTATCATAAAGTAAATACAAGGTCAGTACAGAAACAAAAAGGACACAAAGGTTTACACAATGTGTGTCATTCCATTCACTTCAGTCTTCTATTCATCTGACAATCAGAATGTTTCCATGTCTGTAGAGTGGCCAATTCTTGCATGACTATGTCATATAATGGTTACAGACAAAGATTATGTCAGGGAGAACATCTTCAAGGAATCCTAACTCTAAGGAGGGTTCTCCACTGAATATCAAGCCATATCTTCCTTTGTTAATCTGACAAAGCTAATTCAGAGTCATCATTAAGCAATAATACAACTGGATTCAACACGAATTTCTCTCTTTACATAATGTTATATGAAATTATCACTGTCCTTAGTGTTTTTTTTAATTGGAGCTGCACATTACATTGTGTGAACATTTCATCATGAATAGAAATGGCCCAAAATTGGGCTGAAACTTATAGTAAAAGGGAAGTTGCACTTATTATATGTTTTATTAATATGTTTTAGGCCAAAACCTTATCTCAAAGCTATCATAAAACAATGTGTCAGTCACCAGCCAACATATCTGTATCCATTTAATGTTTGAGGGAGCTGTTAGAGCCATTAAGTGCTTCACACGTCTGATTACTATCACTACTGCTGTGAAAAGCAGACGATTTGCAAAATTCTGAGAAATTCCTGCCTCTTAGTTATTGTTGCTACATCTGTCAAACTTACGTGGTAGTATCTGTAATAGATGAAAAGGCTCAGTGGTATAAAGGAAAATGTAGAAGCACATATTGGAGTGCATTAAAAGATTTTCACTTAAGAATAAATTGGCTTTACAAGATGTTCAGTACGACTTGCATGTTTGAGAACGTACATATTAGGCATGTAGGCCCATTTAAAATGAATGAAAATGCATTCTAAAAACCTCATTTACATGAATCAAACCATAGGATATCATTTAGTCACTTTAGGCATTAAAGTGTCAGGTTCTCATGTCTGAGAAAGAGGAGGTTTTAAAGAAGGAAGCTACATCTTTGGATGAGATAATGGTAAAACTAGAGCTAGTCAGATCAGTGTTAGGTGCTGAGGAGGACTTGTCATCTTTAACATGAGGTCTTTTAGCAAACTTCAATGAAACAGTACAAAGAACAGCATGTGTGAGCTCTGTTGAACCTGATTGCTTTATAAAGCTAACTGATCCTAACTTTTTTCTTTTAAGTTATTTATCATAGGCATTGCATTAAAATGATTTTTAGCAAGTACAGTAACCCAGGTAAAGTTCACTCTGTCTATTAATAGTTTGGACATTGAGCTGTGAGTAAGAAATTTTGAAAAATAGGCAGAATTCCACTCTAATTTACATTAAAATGAAGAAGTTGCTGTTTTGGAGACATTTTCCTAAGACAAAGATGATATATTTATTTGTGTGTGCTTTTAATCTGTCTGCATTGCTCTTGTGTGTGACTGCAGTGCTTTATGATTGATTATCACATTTAATGTGCTGCGTTAAAGTGCTGGTGTATTATGTTAAATGAATTAAATGTGTGTCCTTTGTCTTTCCACAGGAGAGAAGAGTAAGTCAGTGGAGCTAGAGGACGTTAAGTTTCATCAGTGTGTGCGTCTCTCTCGCTTTGAGAATGACCGAACCATCTCCTTCATTCCCCCTGACGGAGAGAGTGAACTCATGTCCTATCGACTTAACACCACAGTGAGCATTACACACCCCCCAGCCCACCCACACACACTCAGACTAAACCATCAGAACCAGCCTTTTTTGTTCGTTTGTATGCTACAGTTGTGGAAATGAGCACTAATTTATTTGGGTCAGTCCTAATTTAATGAATCATCATTGTAATTCTTGCAGGTGAAGCCCCTCATATGGATCGAAAGCATGATTGAGAAGTTTTCTCATAGCCGAGTAGAGATCAAAGTTAAGGTACTAGCGCACATACACACACACACATACACACGGCTCAGACGCATTGTACACTTCACTGCCCTAGTCTTCACACTTTCCTGGAAGCTCCAAGGTTTACCTGACATGTCTTAAGAGTTAGTTGGTTCTTAAACAAGCAGGCTTTGTCCTTTTGTCCTTACCCTGCTGAAACTTGACTGATTTAAATTCTGAAGACTGTCACTTCACAACACTATGACACAGTGTTGCATTTTAACCCCTTTAACCCTTGCAAGTCTGTGGTTCTTCCTTTATTTTTGCTTTACTATTCAAATGTAAATATGTAACAACATATTTAACAAGATAAAGAGTAGGATGACATTTACACAACACAAATCATAATATCTTTTCTCTTACATACTGATACTATCTATTACCTGTCAAGAGGTTTTCTTTTAAAACAGGTCTTTTTCTTTATTACCCTTCACTTTGTAGGTTGTCCAGTTTCAGGTGGTTAATCATAAACCGAATAGTAATCACAGAAATAAATTCAGACTCTCTGTAACCATAGGGTCACATTCATACTGTGTTATTATGCTTGGCTGAGCGTTGTGTGTTTTGTTCAATGTGGTGCGCTTTGTCCCTCAGGCCCGCAGTCAGTTTAAGAGCCGCTCCACAGCCAACAACGTATCCATCCTGGTGCCCGTGCCCAGTGACGCTGACTCACCCAGATTTAAGACGAGCACTGGCCACGCCAAGTGGTTGCCTGAGAAGAGTGCTGTTGAGTGGGTCATCAAGTCCTTCCCAGTGAGTGACGCTTTTACAGCACCTTATAGAACTGCCCAAAGGAATGCTGTAATATCTTTATAAACAACACATGATATACAGTTCTATTCAAAAGTCTGGAATCACTCGCCATATTAATATTTTCTTGTTCTTTTATATGCAATAATAACATATTCAGATTTAAATATTGTTAAATCACCTAAATGACTAGTATTTATTTTTTAATATTTCAAGTATTTTGAGACGAAAAAGTGTAAAGTAATACATTATTGTTATCTTTTTAAACAATTTTATCTTATCAGCCTTGACAGTTGTTCACTTTTGAAATACAAGGCATTCTGTATATTAATTTTATTAAAACTTAACTCCTGAAATTATACAGCTTTCTTAAGCAATGTAGAATTGAGTACAGTTCTGTTCATCATTCTAGACTCATCTAACATTTCTTTATAGCTTCCTATCCTACTATTAGTTACACTATACGTTGACAAGTTTGTAGACACCATTAATTGTTTTCAAAAATGCAATTTAAAAGAGTACAATTTTCAAATCGCAAGAGCTGCAATGTTTTAAGGGCCCGTATTGTGAAACCTTTAATTTTCCTCATATGTTTGAAAGAGTTTGATGTAGTGTATACAAATTGCTAAAGTTTCAAAATGTGTATTTATTGTTTCTATGATATCACAAAAACCAACATGTTTACACATATCCACCTATTCAGCATACAGCTGTTTTCCCCTGCCTATCCACATTGAAGTTATAGGTGTGTTACTGAGTACTGTGTGTGTTACTTACAGAAAAATTGCAATTAGTTATTTTCCCCAAAAGGTTCAGCCCTAGTATCAACCTCGACTCTACTCTAGGATTTGCACTAGATGCTTAGCACTGGGCACGGTGGTCCCATGGTGATATTAAGACACATGATGGAGGCTCAGCGTCTTGTTATATTGGCTGTGTTTTTCTGCAGAGATTATAGAAACTGTGTGTGCACAGTTGGCTGCCTGTGTTAGCTATGGGTGCACCTTAAAGTAGCTGAATTCACTAATTGGAAGGGGTGTCTGGATACTTTTGGACATATACATGATACCTGTGAAGTTGCACGGGACTTGTATGTTCAACTCACTTTAAACATTTATCTGTTTTTTTTATAGTTTTTATAAAAGTATTTTAATTACTTGTATATTACTGAAAACATTCATTTAACTTTTTTGCAAGTGCATTTTTTTATCAGTAAAAGGAAATGAAGGTGTGAAATGCATGAAACACTCTAGGCATGTGTCTTCAGTTACACCATGATAGCACTACTATAAGAGCTGTGAATTATTTTGCTGTATGAGCAGACCCCTGCATCTTACAAGCAGAGGAAAACCACAGTGAAGACTGCCCAAATCAATTTAATCAAGCGAAACTCTCAGAGGAAGTACATGTGTAATAATGCTTTGGACTCACAGGAACTCATGTGCAACTCAGCACTCTCCACACAATATGTAGTGGAGCAATGAATTACTCATATTAAAGTGTCACACGGTTATTAAACCACTGAGACACATACAGATACAACCAGCAAATTGTGAGAATATCTCATTACTGCGTGCAACATCTTACAACAGCTTGGGCAGCAGCTGGCTTAATTATGACTCTCAATGGGCCACATATGTATTATCAGACAGAAGGTTACAGTTGATCTAATGTAACTGAACTAAGGTATTTTAAGTGCTTTCTTATGGGTTCTTTTCTGTTTTCTTTTTTTATCTCTAGATTTATGGAGACAGTGTTATGCAGGAAGTTCAAGAACCTTTTGAAATAGCTTCCTTTAGTTTTTAACATGCAAAGGGTACATTTATATTGTGTACTATTGTGATAAGGTAACATGGAAAATATTTTGATGTAGTTGCGTTTATGATAGTTGTTAAGCATTATGATACCAGATACTTCTTTTATTGTTTGAGCTGTACTTAAGACTGTGTCTATCAGTGCTGATAAGAATGCTCCATATTCAACATCGCATTTCTCGGTCTGAAATAGTGAGCCATGTTTGTTGTGTGCGTGGGTGCATGTTTTCCCACTGTAGTTTCAGTACGTATGAAGTGTTACGTAAAGCCACAAATGTTCCACTCATGCTATTAAGACACATTTTCTAATATATCTCCATGCAGACCTGGGCCCATATTCACAAAGTGTCTCAGATTCTGAGTGTTGATCTCAGATCTACATGAATCTAATCCTAAGTGAACACTCCTACTTTAAGAAGCTTTGCGAATACAGGCCCTCGTGTTATAACTATTGACAAAGAGGATAAAAACTGTTAAATAGGGATCCTACCAGATTTTTTCAGTATTCCTGCATAATTCAGTCATTGAGCTGTGAACAAAGTCATTCAGAATGATTTGATGTGAAATGGTGCCTTGTAGAGATACTTACCGACTGATGATCTCTACAGTAGTGGTAATAGGAACCAGGGGTCACAATGTCTACACTGCAAATATAGTTATTTTATTTATTATTTAAAATTACCTGTGAAACTAAACGTGTCTTCTGAGTTTTTATATGTAATGTTGATAATGGAAAAATAGCATTAAATCTGAAAAAGTTTGTTTTCTTTGGGGACTGTTTTACCATTAAATGCTTTGGATGTACCTCTATGCCATGAACAGATCTCTTAAAAAAGTTTTAGGAAAAAATCTTATTTCAAAACTATTGTACCTCAAGCATATGGAAATGTATTTGTCACCATGTCATGTAATAAGTTCTTTTGAAGTGCTGTGATAGAAGGCTGCTGTTCTTTTGATTTTGGCATGGTGAAAGCTTATCTTGCACAGTTTTTGAAATACCAGCCACAGTACAGTAAATAAAAAAATTTGACTACACATGTATTCTTCTTGTATTTATCTTTGGAAATGTAGCTGATGTTCATAGATAGGCCTTTGATTCTTTTGTTTCACAAAAATGAAAGCAAAACAATTTGTAAAAAATCTGTTCCATATTCAAAGTAATTGGAAGTTGCCACATTTAGAGGAAAGGATGTTTCATTTGTCCACACAATTCTCTGTACTGTTTTAAAACTATTGCTGACATAGTCTGACATGACTGGACAACGAATGAATTTAACATAATTTGGGCACTTTTATAAAGTATTTTAAATTGTGTACCTATGTAAAGAGTTCATGTATGTTTACAGGGAGGGAAGGAGTACATGATGAGGGCTCACTTTGGACTGCCGAGTGTGGAGAGTGATGAACAAGAAGCAAAGAGGCCGATTACTGTGAATTTTGAAATCCCTTATTTCACTGTGTCTGGGATTCAGGTGGGTCTGGAGTTTAAATGCCCATGAGCGTACATTGTTTAGGTTCGTAAAAATTTAAGTAGCTAATAACTGTAACGCTGCCTATGTTTCCATGTATTCAGGTCCGATACCTAAAAATCATTGAGAAGAGTGGCTACCAGGCGTTACCATGGGTACGATACATTACACAGAGTGGAGGTAAATCACACATACACGCCCACACACACTGAAAAATGTAGCACATTGAATTTACTTGATGCACATAAATAAAAAAAGTCTATTTATCTTGACAATAATTGAGTTTTCCAGTAAAAAAAACCTTACCCCAGTCCATCTGCAGAAAAGATTTGTTAGTACATCTAAACTAGTGTTTTAAGTGTTGAATGTTGGTACTATTGTATGTATTCTGGTATTGTGACAAAATACAGGATTACTGGAAGAAGATTTATTTTGCTATACAAAAAATTGTTTACACACAATTCGCTGTGTCTCCATCTGTATCTCCTTTTAAGTCTGTAAGGGTGTGTTAGGGCAATAATAATTTCAGTTGTGTTTTAAAAATTCTAAGTTGCTTTTCTAAAAAATGCATCGTAACTAAAGTCAGAGCTAGACATTCCTTCTAAGATGTGGTTGAATTTGATGTCTAAATGGTTACCTTTGGAGAAATTATATATGAAAGCCCATTCCCACCAGGCAGAGGAGAAAAATCGCCAAAGGTTTTCTTTCTGGCAGCAGTATGTCAAAATATTGACTTATTTTCTCAAAATACTGACTTTTACTGAAATTTTATAACTTATTATTTGACATAGTATCTCAAAGTCTTATAGATATATAAGAGAAAATAAGTAATTATTTTGAGAAAGTAACTCATTATTTCAATACACTAAGTAAATATTGACAATCAGTCATTATTTTGAGATACCAAGTCAATATTTCAAGAATGCAAGTCATTCTTTCAAAATGCTCAAAGTCAATAATTTGAAAAAGTAAATTAGTATTTTGAAAACATAACTCGCCATGTCACGGTACTAAATCAATGTTTAGGGAAAAGATGTTCTTAAGTAATAAGTCAGTAATTTGAGAAAGTAAGTCAGTATTTCAAAAACATAAGTCAATAGTTAGAGAAAGTAACTCATTATTTCAGGATACTTTGTTAAGAGCATGCACACATGCACAAACCATACTATCTAGATCTACCTTTGACCTGCATGACAACTTGAGACTCCCTAGCTCTCTCTCTTTCTCTCTCTCTCTCTCTCTCTCTCTCACACACACACACATACCCCTACCCACTCTCCCTCATGCCACATTTTAATAGAGTGTAGACTATCAGTTTTCCATTTGCATCAGCGATACCAGAGGAGAGGGAGGCACTCTAATCCTTCAGCTCTTTTCACTTATTCATTAGAAATGCTAAGCAGGCTGCCAACTTACACACATTTAGAATGATATACACACTACCCATTCTTTCAGCAATTAAACATTGATTTTATTTATTGACCTTATTATATGATTATATTTGACAGATTATCAGCTGAGGACAAACTGATGGGATTTGTTCAGAGCGATGGCTGTTTGTGCAGACTGTCCTGGCCTTCTGTTCTCCTCAGAGCGAGAGAGAGAGCGAGAGCGAGAGCGAGAGAGAGAGAGAGAGACAGCTCTGTGCTGTTCTCAAACATCACTGAACCGGTTACAGCCTCTCTCTCTTACACTTTATCTATGTTAGTGTGTGTGTGTGTGTGTGTGTGAGAAAGAGAAAAAGAGAGAGAGAAAGACAGTAAGTTTGCATGTGCATTAAAGGGTCCATGTCCTGTGTTCGTTTTGTATGTTATTGTTTTCTCTTTGAGGTCCACTTATAAAATTTGTGTGGTTTTATGTACCAAAAGCAGTCAGAATTCATTTTTATATGGCCATTTCCAACCTCTCTTTATTCCTTAGAATTAAACAGGCTGTTTTTGTTACTGTGCCTTTAAGACTGGTATAAGGTAAATGAGCCCTGTTTTGATTGGCTGCCCTATATTGTGCCTCACTCAAAAAGCAGTCCAGGTTGAAACATTCCTTAAAACGTGAATGGGTGAAGCTAAACTACTGTAAGCTGAATAGGTGGATATATGTAAATGTGTAGGTTTTTATGACAGCACAGAAGCGGTTCATTCAAAAAAGCTTAGTATCCATATATGGACTGGGGAGTGTTTACATATGACATTAAATAATTTTATTTTAAGGAAGCAAAGAAAACTCAGTTTTCCTAGATATGAGCCCTTTGTAATGTCTTTGTAAAGTGAACAAAGCAATAAGAAACTGGTCATGCAATGTATTATTCTAGGATTATTTTGACAGTTAGGTTTGGTATTTGGTTGGCTTTGTTTATACATGTGTAGTCTGTTACTTGTTTAGCATTAAGTTTAATTGTTAGTATTTAACAATAGAATGATTATGTAAATCCATCATTTTAAGAAAAGTCCTTGGAACTAGTTTAAATATATCTTTTATTACTCCTTATCTATCCTGAAAGAAGGAAGTGGCCATTTTTATTATTTTGTTTTTATAAAACTTTAAGGCATAACCCCACTGACCGGTGGAATGAATACCTTGTGCACAAAATCAATGATTAATAAGGCTGCACACTGTCAGGCACTGGTGTAACACTATATTTTCACCGCAGTATCCTTGTAGCCTTGTCTATTGTGTTTGCATTTGCAAATGCGAAAGTCTAAAGAATGTCTCTACTCACAAATGCAAGCAAACTCAAGAATCAGAGAACTGCTGAATTCTCAGTTACTGTAAGAATGAGAGTTTATAATGAATTCATTCTAAGGAAACCTGGATTGAGGAGCTAAATGTACAGTTTTGTGTACTTCTGTCACATATAACTCTACAGCACGTGCAGGGATGAGAATATCTCAGCTAGAAGACAATGAGAAAGGAGACTCCATATCACTGCCTGATCTGTCTCCAAATCCTATGATTAAGCATTAGACCAGAAACGTCCTGCTTTAAATTTCCGCTGTCTTCTACGTGTTATTGTAGAGAATACACTGCCATAATTCCCTGTATTCAGCATGCATCACTTGTTCTATCAGCGAGGCTGCCGTGCATATGGAATATTGTTGGCACCTCTGCAGAGGCAGCAGAATATATTATTTGTCGTAAGTATGACTGCCTGCCTCTCTTTCACATTCTCTCACCGGGGGCCAATGGTGTGCAAACCTCCAGATAATTATTCCACCACATTCCCGACTCTGAAATGTGTTTTTGATATCCCACTTTTTTATTTATTGATAACAGCTCTCTGCTTCCACTTGATACTGTACAAAAGGTGACTGGAAACAAATAAACTGCAGTTTTTTTCTTTTAAATTAGGCTTGTTTATTCTACCTGCTTACTGTTGTTTTATCTCTTCCCTTTATCGACTGATAAGTGTTGCCTGGTTATTGAGGTGTTGGACTGTAATTCAGATCTCATTTGGGTCTAGTACTGGGGCCTATTTGAGAAACACAAGTGAATATATCGTTGTCATTGTCTTTGAAATTGTGACTTTACAGGAAAAGGAATAACATTCTTTACTTTTAATGTACATTGATGCGACAAGGTGTTATTCCAGACAATTTTAGGTTATTTCTGCTGATCTTCAAAATTTCACACAATGTAAAATGCATTTGGCATTTTTAAATAGTGTAAATAAAATTGAAAACAACAAATATAATATCGTTATAAAGCAACCTGGTAATGCAATTATAATGCCTTAACAAGCCAGAAGTTAGTAATTAACAGGCTGCTCATTATTACCTAATTAAGCAATATCTAAAGAGTTAAGCATTAAGCATTTTCCAGAACACTTTTATTTGTGTATTATACACCATAATCATTTGCACAACATTTTAGGTGTCCATTATTATGCCTTTAGTAAGCTTTAATAAGCGAAAAGAGCTCTTGGAAAATGCTTAATTCACTCTAGTTACTGCTTCATAATTTACTAATAAGCATCCAGTTAATTTGCAGCTATTGGCTTAATAAGTTAGTTACTAGCTATTGGCTTGATAAGGCTTAATAAGGGTATAATGATTGACATTAAACATGGTGTGCAAAAGATTATGATGTATAATACACAAACAAACAAGCTCTAGAAAGTGCTCATTTCACCTTAGTCACTGCTTAATAATGTAGTAATAAGCAGTCAGTTCACTACCAGCTGCTGGCTAGTTAAGGCTTAATAAGTGCATTACAAGAGCATTATACTGCCCCCCCCCCACCAAAAAATGTTGTACCGATATGACAGCGACAATATGCAGTTGTTTCTTTAACCTGTGCAATATTTGCTGTGTGTGCATATCTGTATATGTGCATATTACAGTGGCTGGATAGCCAGGCTTATGCTTGTTCTTACTAGGCTTGCTCCTATCAGGCCCTGCATAAGAGCCTGGTGACTTAAAGACAATAGCTCACAGAGAGAGCCTTTGTCCATGTGGGGACTGACAACAGTTTAAGGACAATGGCCTGCCTGTTGAGGGCTAGAACAAGCATCAGTCGACACATCCCACCCAGCCTCTGGCGCTGGCCCTCATTCAGCCCTGCCCTGCCCCCTCAGGACCCTCAGTGACTCAGCTGTAGTAATGCTTGTGCCATAGTATATGTAATGCTTCCACATACACACTCACACCAAGCAAAGAGGAATAAACATAACCTGCTCATACCAACCAGCAAGTATATTTGGCTTTTTGTTTATTACTATTTTTTTATTATGTATTTTGCAAGGTGCGATCCCTAAATGAAACAATTGCTTTTAATCACCAGTCTTCTCTTAAAATTTCATCTGTTTCAGCACTGGAGCATAGTGGCTATAGGAGAAGGGCCAAGTACCAGTGGTATAAGATTTCATGGGCTCCAGTACAAACAATGCATGTGCACCCATTTGAAAATGACCATTAATGAACAATAATAATATAAAAACAATAAAATTGGTTCTCTGATGTTGGATAATTGTTAATAAGTTATTATGTAATTAAGTAATTGTTGGCTATGAGTCTTGGGTATAAAATTCCATAAGTAGCAATGAAAGAGGTTCAGGCAAGGTGTTAGAGTGTCTACTCACCAAGCGCCCCCAGTGCTAGAGTCCCCTCTGCCCTGCCTGCACTGCTGGTAGCTATGCCACTGTTACACAGTCTCTTGTTTGAAGTTGTCTATGAGAATTGTCATGAAAAAAACTTAATAGGTACACATACACATGCATTTTTGGTAACACTTTCTTTTACAGTCTCCTATGTTCTAGGTATTAACCAGGCCAGTGTGTGGTTCCAACTTTATAGTATTAGATAATTATATTGGGTAACATAATGGTGAGTTCCACAACAATTAAATTTAGCTGAAATAACAAACAGGTTCTATGTATTAACTGGGTGTTTGTATGAAACAATCTCCAAAGTTCTGTGTAATTATTTTTGGGTAAAGTGATGGTGAACCAGACAGCTACTAAATTGCACTGAAATACCCAAAAGGTTCCAGCTATTACGCTGAAAAAGGACATAATAAAATATCCTATAATTGGATCATTATTTGGAGAACAAACTGGCAAGTACAAACAAACATTAAATTTCACTCTAATGTCACTTGTTTAGGCAGGAAAGTAAACTGGGAAATGAAACTGAAACTGTGCTGTAATAGAAAGTGACGATTCTTACTATGGTTTTTACTGGGTTCTTACCATTTAAATCGATTTACCATTCCGTTTTAGCAATGGCATTACTGTGAAAATTATTGCAAGTATGTTGGCATTTACCACTTTAAAAAATTATCCATTCAAGAGTTATTTTAGTATTTCCTTTTGTTAGCACAATGTTTGTTTACGTACTATTGTTTTAACTACACAGTACTTTAGAGTTTGTGCCCTACACCAGTGTTTCTCAACCTGGTCCTTTTTTCATCCCTGTGTGTTCTGAGTTAGGTTGGAGCAAAAATGTGGACCGCCTGGGGGCCCTTAGGAGCATGTTGGGAAGCACTGTCTCACACTAAAGCATTTTATATCCTTTTAGTCATTTCAGTGTAATTTAGCCAGACTGTGTGGAACTTAGTAGTACCAAGTAGAAGCATGTACACCACACAAATTTTGCTAAATGCACTGGCCATCAGTGCACTGAAGTTTGTAAGTATGGTTATATTTCAGCTGTTTCCACTTCTTGTAAAAGTTGCCCAAAACAACAACAACAAAAGCCCTAAAGAACAAGTGACATAAAAAAGAGGCACACCATGTGCTTCACTATCACACTGACTGATAGAGAATCGCTTTTATTTGATCAAGAGTGTTCACCGCACCGAGGCAGAGAGAGGTCGCAGTATAAAATCACAGACATGCAAACTGACACGGCTGATACGTTCTGTCACACACGCTAAACAGCTCTGACAAGCAAGGTCCAGATGGACCCCCACTTGGCACACTCCCCTTTGCCCACATAAATAAGAGTGTGAAGGACATACGCAGTCCACTGACGTTGGAGGATTGATGTTTGGTGAAGCCCAATGATATTGGAGAAAGGCAATGGTTGTGGTGTGAGACAGCAGCATATTTTACCAAAAGTAATGAATGATTTAAACTCCATTATTTGCCCTTTCATTGGTCTGTTATTTGGGTGAAAACTGACAGTGTATCACTGTAAAGGCTTAAGGTTTATGCTTAAAGCTCCTCAATATTGTCCTGGCTACGTTTCAAGACAAGAGCAAGACCACTATAGGCCTACATCTTAACTGACAACGAGATGTAGATACATATAACGTGTCAAGTGCGATTTGTACTGATGGTTGTAGCTTCATACATTCTTCAATCAATATGTGTCCATTGTGCAAAAGGTTCATTAGTGGCTATGTTTCTTTATTGATCCGTTCTTGCTGGAATACAGTCTCAAATGAAATGGAAAAATTATCTTATAGATCCGTTTACACATTTCTCTCGCATCTGTATTTTTGTTCAAGCTGCGTTCATATGAGGATCCTATAAAGGCAGTAATATGCAGTCACACAGTCATATGAGCTGAGCCAGGCTTGATGCAGTTTCCCTCCTGGCACGCATCTGTCCCGAAACGGTGAAGATGCTCACCATCCTGTCCCGCAGGCTCTGCTCCGGCCTCGTCCTCTCTAAGAGAAAAACCACAGCTGAGTAAAGGCCAACAGCTAACACTGTAAACCCTCCGCCCGCTAGCAGCACCACTCCTGATATAAACATGTCATTCAAAGCCTGGCCAGGTTTGGGCATGTGGTAAGCCAGGGCAATGTCCAGCAGCACAGCTCCACAAATGAGCAAGGACAGTCCTGTAATGAGAACGACCAGGACGTCTGATAAGCCGCCACTTTTCAGCACATTAATGCGCCGCCGGCTCCTCACGCAGTTCATGTCCTGCACAGCGGAGCTCAGCAGCTGCTTTAGGAGAACAGCCAAGGCCAGTAAGCACAGTGCTGTCCCTGCACCCAGACGCCACTCGCTGGACAGGCTGGTGGTGGTGGACAGAAGGCCCACTCCACCCAGGCCGCAGCCCAGGATCAGGGCCACCGAGGCACAGTAGCATAGCAGAGATTTCCTAGGCTCATTGAACCACCACAGCTCCACCTGCTCCTCCAGGAGGTTCTGCTGGATGCGGGCCGGGTCAGCATGGTGCTGGTGGCCCCGCGGAGGGGGGAAAGTCCTCCAGCTCCGGCATGCCGCTGCCCGCTGCCGGGCCACTGCTGAGGCTGGGGGAGTGCTGCAGACGTCAGGGAGCTGATGAAGAACAGCACCTGCCAGAAAGTGAACAATGCTTTAGTTTCACTGAAAACTTGCTAAACTGCTAACTGTATAAATATTTACAGTTGTATGCAAATGTTTGGACACACTGGTCTAATTACATGCTTTGTAAGTGGGAGTAAGTAAGCATCCTCTACAGAGAATACAATTCTGCACATTCTAATATAAAACTTAAATGTATTTGCTGAATTTAACATATTGGGCAAAAAATAAAACATAAAATGTGGCCTGTGCAAAAGTTACGGAACATTTAATATTTTATACGTATTTGTATTGTTTTTTCAACATGTTAAGCTCAGCAAAGAAACAGACATTGTGCAGAAACAAATGCCATATTTAAGGATGTGTTGACTTATTTTCACTTAGAAAATCAACAAAATGTAATTTGATAAAAATATAAATATAAAAAATATATTTAAAAAATTAATATATAATATAAAATAAAATCAAATATAAAATATAATAAAATATAAAAAATGTTACACCATACTATAATATCACAATATCTTCAACTCAAAAAACCCTGAGGACCTGTATGTGGGTCTACAAGTCAGTTCTTCATTCTCATAATAAATATAATCATAAATGCACATATCATAGTAGTATTACAGAATCATAAGTATTGAAACTTAATAACTGAAAAATACAGCTAGAATTATAGGGGTTAGAGGTTTAAGACATTAAGAGAAAGAGCAGTAATCTCATTATAAACTAGGGCCCAACCGATTTATTGTTTGAGCAATAAAATCAGCTGATATTAGGGTCCATAAATTTATTAGCACAAGTAACAATAAAGCACCGATAACGTCCTATAATAAACATTATATCACACTGACATAATTGTACTGGAAAACTGAAAAACATCTTTAAGGCAATGATTAACTAAAACTGACATGGCCTAATGTTACTGGTTTACTGAATTTTTAGATTCTTAAAATTGGCATAAGTATTGATGCCAAACTGTCATATTGTCTAGGCCCTACTACAAACACAGAACAACCCACAGTCATATGCACACTTACCAAAGTGTGGAAAGCAAGGCACCATTCAAACTAACAACAAATACAGGCACTGAAGCTTTCAGCATTTCACAAAGCGCTCATTCAGTGAAAACCATGGCATGCAAATGTTTGGTCTAAATTCAAACTGAGAAATCAGCTGTAACATCTGTCATCACTTTCTGGTCACATTGGAAGCTAAACTTACAACTTCAGGATCCAACACTATTCAAAATCACAGCCAGGCACAGCAAGTCGAAGGAAGCTTCTCCACACACCCCATTGTACAGCTTCCTCAAAGGAAATTCAGACTGGGGTCCAACAATCCTTCAAGGGCTTAACACCTCTGTTGTGACTTCCCTCTGACTGGGGACTGGGGAAATGTGTGTATGTGTGCAGGAGACTACAGTATAAGGAGAAAAGAAATTCCCCTTCGCTATGGGCTCAAGTGTTAATCCCTTTATCAATGGCCTGTCCCTGTGGTCCCAGCGACCCTCAAGGTTGTGGCACTGACAGCTTGTCTTTACAATCCTGTCAGCGGCTTTAGTGGAGCAGTCAGCAGCCAGTTGCCTGCCAGCCTTCTGCCTTTACTCTCATACAAAACTCCACAGTATACACCACACCCCTATACCCAGAGGGCCAATTACATTAAAAAAAGAAGAGGGACACTGGCCTCTAACGAGCATGGTGGTAGAGGGGATAGTTTGTCCAAAAAACATCTGCATTTGAAAATGCCAGCTGCTCTTTACATTCTCTCAAAACTTTTCATTATTTTACATTGGAAGTTAAGTATTTTTTTCCTTCTCCTGTAAAGTTACAAGGTTCTGTTCCAACAGCAATTATATGTAACTATGATATGAATATTATCACTCTTTCACAAACTATTAGATAATGATTAAGGAGCTGTTTATTAGGACCTGTTATTATAAAGTATCACCAACATTTCTTCTGAAATCAAGGGTATTTACAGGGAGTTTGACCCTTCTTTTCTGCAATAACAGTCTCTACTGTTCTGGGAAGGTGTTACACGAGATGTTGGAACATTTCTGAGGATTTGATTGCACTCCGCCACAAGAGCATTAGTGAGCTCAGGTGCTGATGTTGGATGATTAGTTCTGAATTACTACTGGAAACAGCACACCAAACCATGCCAAAAGTGCTGGATGGTCCAGCATGGTGACCTTAGGCTCATGTGCAGCTGTTATAGAGCATCCCATTCTTTTAGCAATGCTGTTGTAAATTACACAAGCTGTGTGTGCAACTGAATGCCTTAAAGTATCTGAATTCACTAATTAGGGGTGTCTGGATACATTCACAAATCCATTTGTTTATATAAAACAATATATAGAGCCAGGACTCTTGACTACTAGACTTTTGACTACTATACAGATAACAACATTAATCGAAAGGGGATGAAAAGTGCACAAAGCACAAAGTGTTCTTTTTTCCTGTTTGTTGACTATAATTGTTTTTCGTTGGTGAGTGGCTGAAACGGCTGTGCAGTTTAGTGTGAGCATGTGTGACACTTTGTTAATTAAGTCCCTATAGACTTGAGCCTCTTGTCACTGTCATGCAGCGCTTTGAAATAAGGCACAATAATTGAGGAGGCACATGAGCAGAGAGGGGAAAATGAATCACTAATAAATAAAGCTAAATCAAGATGGAAGCGGGAACCTAATCTTTAATCAGTAGTTCATGTAACAATGGAAGAAGATGGATGTAACTTCTTTGTAGGGTGGCCAATATAATATACTCACAATATGACAACACATAAACATTATTGTGATAAATTACATGACAACACTCTTTTCTGAGTATGTCAAAGGTAGCGTCAGTACTTCTAGAGCAATGAGCAACTTGGTGTATCGTAAAAAAGACAGATGCAGGCCAATTACAGAGAACCTGTAAAAACAACTACATGTGATTGGATGTCAGCTCATCATGCCGTTATCTTACACTATTTGTTTGTTTTTACCATTTATTTCATTTCTTCCTGTACCTTCCTGTAATATATTTTTTTCCAAATGTTAAATGTAAAAAATCTAAAAATTAAAGAAATGTAAAAAACTATTTTGCCGGTGCATTTTGTCTATTCTAACTCACAAACCTCAGAAATCTACATATCGTGGCATTTCCCTTTTGAAAAAAAAATGCATTTAAGTGTACTTTTCAAAAGTGCACTGTTATATTATATATTATATTAATATTTTTTGTTATATTATATTAATATTTTTAATGTCCACACTTTAAACATACTTTTATACATACTAAATGTATTATTTTGGAACAACCTATGACAAGTTTATTTAAATTGTAATTAAGCTATGATTAAGTATATACTAAATGCATTATAGTGAGTGTTTTCCAAACATCTTACATTGCAGTTAAGTCAAGCATGTAATTTGCAGACATAACTTAGATTTCAGGATCACTACATACACCTAAATTCAACAAATAAATATGTAATGTTAGTTAATACATTAAATATAAATATATTATAACTAAACACAATCTATACATATTTCAGTTACATTTAGGAAATGTTGAAATGCATCTTCTACACCTACAAGATCTTTTCTGTTCTAAACTTATGCCTATTTAAGTTAACTTATGCAATTTCTAAGACACACTTTCTGCTACATTTGAAACAATTTAAATGTATACTCCTGAGTTAAACGATATGCATATTTGATTGCTACTTATTTTGATATATATATTGCAATTAAAATGCAACTAAAATGTTACCAACATTTCTTCTGTAATCAAGGATATTAACAGGGAGTTTATTCCCCCTTATGCTACAGTAACCGTCTTTACTATTCTGAGAAGGCTTCATACTAGATGTTGGAACATTGCTGTGAGGAATTGATTGCATTCAGCCACAGGAGTATTTTAGCCAAGTGAGGTCATGTACTGATGTTGGATGATTAGTTCTGGATCACAAATGCCACTCCAGCTCATCCCAAAGGTACTAAATGGTCCAGTGTGGTGAACTTAAGCTAAACTAGAAAGTACTAAAGCATGCTTTTTACTTTAAAGCATTGGTTTAAAATACTTTTAAATAATACTTTTAGTATTCTCAGTATACTTCAAGTATACTGTTGATGTACTTAAGTATGCTTCTTTTTCACAAAGGTTATCATGTATGATTAATATACGTGTATATTCATGTTGTTGCAGTATCACCCACCATAAGAACTTTGAGAATATTTGCAAGTGAAAATGCACTTTTTTCTAATGACTATGACAGAAAAAAAACTCACTTAAATCACCACTGGGTTTGGAAACCAATTTAGTCTACTCAGCTTTGGGTTCTCTAGCTGAATATCTTTAGGACATTAATGATAAGAAAATAAATCAGTTTTCTTCTGAACATACTGCCTCTTAACTCTTTATCAGTCAAAAGTCCCTAAAGGACTGTTCTTCATTAGCTTACTCTTTATAATGAGCTTCACAGCCCAGCAGTGCATTCTTTGGCACAACTATCAGATCATGTTCATGCAGAGTGCTGGATTAAAAGATAAGTAAAAAGTTCAAAGTTACAAGACAGAAAAGAAGGGTGTAAGATACACAGCATGGGCCAGTCAGGTTTATAATGACTAATTACTTTGGCCCATGTTAATAGTGGATGGAATGGCAGCACAGGCCTTGGTCTCAACCTTTGTGATGACTTACGTATCAGTACAGCAGCCTTGCTTAGAGCAGTGCACCTGGCCATGGACTGTGAACATGGCCATACTGTAATTCCTATCAGTAAAAATGTTCCTTACAAGGGCATTGTGGGAATGACTCATTGACAGAATGGAGTCTTTCCCTGGTCAATAATTTACACTGATCCATGCAAATAAAAAAGAGAAAGGACATGCTCATAAGGAAATTACAGCATACCCAACACTAAACCTAGCCAAAGTCCATGGCACACCTAAAAGAGAGGCCATACAAGCCTCTGAATGTGTTATCATTTTGTTGTTCACCATTTGCATATGGATGATGTCCATGGGAGAAATGAATCCTGATTTGAAAAACTGCCCCATCATACCCTATGGTTAACCGACCATAAAAGTTACAAATCCTATTCGCTGTAGTTGGTTGTATGACCAAATATTTATATCATGGTATAATTAAAATTTCTTATGGTTTTAGTGTGTATCACAAGTAAAGTCATTTTAGATACTTAAGAAAACATATTTTTGTGGGTTAATATCAGTGGCTTATTATTCTGGGATGTCCCTTCACTTTTAAATAAAAACTATTTAGAACAACAATGTAAATCTAAAATATTTTTTATTGTGCAAAATAGTAAAAGCAAAAGAAAACAATATATAGATAAACCTGTCACCATTGCTTTCTAGCACTAGCCCTGTGGGCCCAACAAAAACGGTGCTAAATGTAAATTTCTACAAGGCTGAAGTTGGCTTCTTATTTCACAACGTTTTGTTAGAATTTTCTTTTCTAACTTAAATGGAGCAGCAGTTACATTATGGCATCTGTACATGCGCCTGAATGTAACTGCTGCACTATTTAAGGCAGGAAATCTAGAATAAACAGTCAACCTTAGCTTCATCGAATCTATCAAGTCATTTGTCTCACGTGCATCCCATAAACTCATCCCTCTGGCCATCAGACACGGCTGGAATTTGGGATATTACAGTCATTCATGCTTCTGTACCAGTTGCTCTATGACTTTTTTGCGCAGAAGGCCCGAGACCATAGTGTTGTCTGGTGCAGCTGCCCGAGTCAGGCGGCTCCACAGGCGGTATGAGAAAGAGCGCAGCTACCGCTCTGGTGTCCCTGTTAGGCAAACCGCAAAAGACCAGGCATTCCTTTATGTCCACTGCTTCAAAAATAAAGTGGACTACATCACATGCAAGAGACTAAACAGCAGCTGCATTTTCATTTTTGTTTGAAATGTGACTGAAACAGGGGGCGGCACAGTGGCTCAGTGGGTAGCGCTGTCGCCTCACAGCAAGAAGGGCCTGGGTTCGATTCCCGGCTGGGTGACCAGGGTCGTTTCTGTGTGGTTTGCATGTTCTCCCCGTGTCTGCGTGGGTTTCCTCTGGGTACTCCGGTTTCCTCCCACAGTCCAAAAACATGCAGTCAGGCTGATTGGACTTGCTAAATTGCCCCTAGGTGTGAGTGAATGTGTATGTCTGTCTGTCTGCCCTGCGATGGACTGGCGACCTGTCCAGGGTGTATCCTGCCTTCTGCCCAATGACAGCTGGGATAGGCTCCAGTTTAGATGATGGATGGATGTGACTGAAACATCACTGACTTAACCACTCAGCTAAAGAGGCTAACATTAGCACGGTTTGCATTGCTTATATGTTGCGTTATCTGTGCTTATTTCTGGCAGAGTGGTCATACTCATACTTATACCTGAGGAAAAATTTTAACCAGCATACCATCCACTACCCATACTTTTTACCCATCATACATTTTTCCTTCAAATATCACTGTGTCATTTGAATTACAAGCTTGTTAAGTATTCAACTTAGGAATTTTTACATCATAACACAAGCAACCTCACTAAAACACCCCATGCACCCCAGCAAGCTTTGTAAAGTGTTGGTAAATAATAGTGTTGTAGTAGAGTCAGTTGACACCAGTGACATCCAGGGAAAAAATATACATAGGACGAAATGTCTCAGCTTTAGAACACTTTTGTTTACCCTAGGGTGTGATAGGGGCAGTTCTCGAAAATGTTATGAAAAAGTAACTGCTTAGACATGGCGTTGCTATTTGACCATGTTACAGAAAACAAAATGACACACATCCTCAGAGGTCTATGAGTACCATTCAATGGGCATAAAGTCTGGGTTTTAACAATGTTTACCTGCAAGTAGCACTTTGTGTAAATATCCTCTTGGTGTCCTGGGCTGTTCAAAAAATCAAACAATGCTCCACCCTTCCTGGCAGTGATGTGCCAAGCATTAAGGCAGTCTATGTTTAGAGTCAGGCCCGTATTGAAGCATTACGCTTTGGTGTCAGGGTCTGTAGGGCGGCAGGACATGTATCTGAATAGGAAGCATTCACAAAGCACGCTCTTGTCTTTGGTCACCATGCAACAGCCGCTGCCTTGTTTCTTCCCCGCCTGGTTGCTGGACAGTGACAATGAAGTAAGTCTCTGTTTCCTTCTCTAGGCCAGGATGAGGTTAACTTCTCACTAGAACAAGAATAAAAAGACACAATAAGATCTAGGGGCAAAAGGAGGAAGAAGAGGTTGACTAGTTCCTTTTAGTTTTCAGATGCACACAATGTCACATACTAATGAGAGAAGTTATGAGATATGAGAGTGTATAGGCAAGAGATAATAGCAACTTTTTCATTTTTAACCCCTTTAAACAAGTGCCAGCATAAGGCCCCACACTTCAAATCCTCACAACTCCAAAGTTCAGTCTTAGAAGTTAGTTGCATTTACTGCATCTCATGATCCAGGTAATCCTAAACACATTCAGTTATGTTGAGGTCTGAAATCTGGGGTGGTCAGTCCATTGTTCTGAGAACACCTGCTGCTTCTTTGTTTGATTTGATTTTTTTAAATCTATTGCTAGATTTTCTATTTTCTCAGTAGCAGCTTCTTGACAGCTACACTTCCTTTTAGACACTTAGTGATGAGTTGTCTTCTCACAGTGGAAGGATGGACAGAAACACTGAATTTTTCAGATCTAAAGCCAGAATGGAGCTCTTTCTCCTCTCTCTCAAAGATGAAAACTTCAAATACTGTTTATCTGATGGCAACAGTTTTAGTGGTCTACCAGGCCTTGCATGGTTGTTAGGAGACCCATTTTCTATACAATTTTTAATATTTTTTCAAGTCTGATTATGTTTTTTCACTTAATTTTCCGTATTTTTCCCTGTTTATGCAAGCGTATTACCTTATATCTAATCTCCTCAGAAATATCTCCTGAAAAACAGATGTCTTTTACTTTTGACTGGAAATCAAACAAATAAAGCATGGTCTCTGGCTTTATGCACAGTACTTTAAGTATCTAAGTCAAGTAATGTTTGAGTAACATAAGGTATTACAAAGCAGAGACCACAGTGAATCTAGAAGCAAAAAGCTACAGAAACTGGGAGCTAACGGTTTTGCTCTTTTCTAGATGCATCCAGCAAGTTTTATCTCAGAAAAATAGCATAATGTACCTGAAAATCTAGTACATGGTAATCATGGTTTTGAATAATGCAGAACAAGGCTCTAGAAGCGTTGTTTTATCATGCACAACTCTGATAAGGCCGTGCTTCCTAGTGCTGCCTCTACTCTCCTTAATCCATGGGTTATCAGCCTGCACACATGGCTCAGGTTACTGTGAGGCATAACCTGAGGAACAAACCAGACACAGCAGCTGCTCAGGCTCACTATGCACTATACACCTGCACCTACTCTGTATCTCTCTAGTTCATTCCTTAAGCTGGCTTTTTCTCTCTTTTCCTCACTATCTTGCATTCTGTAGTCTCACCAACTTTCTCTCTCTCTGTGGAATTGCATTGGGGTTCTGTTGGCTGGCTGGGTTAACCTGCTTGGAAATTAAAGCCCCTCCTTCTCCTCCTCCCCTTCTTTTTCTCCCAGCTCTCTGTGTGACAAACTCTACCTTTATTGTCCCGCAGCCTCACCTGTGCCTACTGTTGTTTTGCACCGTTTCACTTCAGGACCCACTGATGTCACCACCTCTCTCTCTCTTTCTCTCTCTCCAAAGCACACACTATTATTCCCCCATCTCGTTTCACCTCACTACCATGTTGCAGTGCAAGCTAAGAGGCACAAAACAAACAGATATTATGAACAAAGATGGATTGCTCCATCTTTCTTTTGTGCATTTTTTGCGCCTCTGTGTTCTTTGTGCATGGTCAACTTGATAACATTTTGATATAGCTGCTCTTTTACAGATGCCATAATGTGTGTTTTAGAAAATGCACTGTGTCATGTATCAGAGTATTTCTTGATTTCTTTTGATTTTAAGTTTTTTTAAGCACTTTAGCTGGAACGCTGTTTCATTATGTCCTGGTTAGGTCTTTAATATCCTGTAAACTCATTGCTTTGCAGTGGCTGGCCGCTCCTATTGAGCACAGCTGCAATATTTAAGGACTAATTAAATCACCAATTAACATGCGCGTCCGCCCAGCTCCACACTGCTGACAAAAAGAAACTGGTTCACCTTTTTTCTTCTCTTCCTCTTTCCCTCTCTCCGTCCCTCCCTTGCTCATTTTCTCCCTCTGAGCAGTGGCAGGCCCCAGAATATTCAGATTTATCCTCCAGGCCAGGAGCAGCGTACACAAGACCCATAACCTGATCCCAAACAGGGCAGCGATTCAGCTTTCCCCCTGCACTGTACTCCACCCTGACCTCCATCTGTGTCACAGTCACCGGCCAGGTTACACACCTGCACCCACTCGCCTGCTCACTCACACTCACTCAGGCCAAGGCTTCTCAATGACTGCCTGTCTGTCTGCCCAAACGGCCTGTCACAGAACATTCTAGCATTTCTGGAGCTTGATGTTTGCCATGGAGAGAGCTGAATGTTTGTTCTGTGCAGCAGTGTAGATAGAAAATTGAGTCAGGAGTTGACTTAAGTTTTAGCTTTTTCTCTGCACTTAACAGTTTTTACCTCTCAAATAGGCCACATCTGTCCTTGAAGGCCAAACACTGAGTGTGTGAGTGTGTGTGTGTTACCATCTGTTTCTCTGCATACTTTGTTAACCCTCTTTTACCCTGTTCTTCAGTGGTCAGGACCCCCACAAGACCACCCCCACAGAGCAGGTATTATTTGGGTGGTAGGTCATTCTCAGCACTGCAGTGATACTGGCATGGTGGTGTGTTAGTGTGTGTTGTGCTGGTCTGAGTGGATCAGACACAGCAGTGCTGCTGGAGCTTTTAAACACCTCAGTGTCACTGCTGGACTGAGAATAGTGCACCAACTAAAAATATCCAGCCAACAGAGTCCTGTGACCACTGATGAAGGTGTAGAGGATGGCTAAGACAGTGGACAGTTAGTGGACACCATGGATACTCCAGCAGCACTGCTGTGTCTGATCTACTCGTACCAACATAATGCACACTAACACGCCACCGCCACGTCAGTGTCACTGCAGTGCTGAGAATGATCCACCACCCAAATAAAACCCACTCTGTGGGGGTCCTGACCATTGAAGAACAGGGTAAAAGAGGGCTAACAAAGTATGCAGAGAAAAGATGGACTAAAGTCTGTAATTGTGAAACTACAAAATGCACATATGTGGTTACAAGGAGGCTTTTTTAATGTTATGGCTGACCAGTGTGTGTGTGTGTGTGTGTGTGTACAGTATGGTGGTATTAATCGTTTGGCATTGATATTTTTCTATGTGTAAAGATAAGGCCCACTCCCAACATCATATATCACGTATAAAATTATGGAATTGGCATTTAATGCATAATGAAATAGGAGAGGCAGAGAGAGAGAGAGAAAGTGAGAGAGAGAGAGAGAGAGAGGCAGTCTTAGGCAGTCAAGAAGAAATGTTGAAACTATTTATCTTGGCAGTAAAATTGTATTTCCTTATAAAAACACTATATAACACAATCAATACAAATAAACATAAATAATGAAAAACAATATTTTTGTTGTTTTTTTATAATAATAATTTTGTGTTACTTAAGTTATGACCTGTCCAGGGTGTATCCTGCCTTCTGCCCAATGACTGCTGGGACAGGCTCCAGCTCCCCCCCGTGACCCAGAGGGATAAGTGGTTTAGAAAGTGTGTGTGTGTGTGTGTGTGTGTGTGTGTGTGTGTGTGTGTGTGTGCGTTTGTATTTAAGCTATTTCTTTCTTTATACAGTTAGAGGAACACAGGTTTTGTTCCTGACTTCTCAGTGCACTTTGTTGAATTAGAACAGCAGTGCACCTGATTTAACTGTTTAATTTAATGACGAATCAATTAGCTGAAGCAAGTACTGAATAGTAAGATAACTGTGCTTCCTTTCTGAGAGCTTTGGAAATGGATATGATAACACCCTGACAGACATAAAACAATGTGATACTTATTTGCTTATTTGTACTACTTTATTTGTAGTGTTAGTTTTTTGTTTGTTTAACAAATAAATGCCACTGTGTTAAGTGAACTACACTCGTCCATTTTGTCAGGTCCAATAAACATGTAGGTGCACTTTGTAGTTCTACAATTACAGAATGTAGTCCATCTGTTTCTCTGCATAAATTTTGTGCCACGTCCATCAGTGGTCAGGACACCAACAGGACCATCAAAGAGCAGATGTTATTTGGGTGGTGGATCATGTTCAGCACTGCAGTGACCCAGACATGGTAGTGACATGCACCTATATGGTAAGTGTACCTGATAAAATAGACAATGAGTGTAGATACAAGGCAGTTGTAATATAATGTAATATAGTTATATTAGGTATATATAATGTATAACTTATGTGAAATACATCCATTTTAGAGGAAAACGCAAGAAGCTGTTTGCCTGTTATCTGTATATGAAGAAATGTCAGCATGCCAACAGGCCCCAGGGTGTTTAAGGGTCAACAGTGTGGTTCAAAGTTTACAAATTACATCATGACGTCAGCATAATATCAGCATCATTCCCTGTCTCCAATAATAAAACACACCCTATTCACCATCGACACTACAGTCAGTGCAGATAAATTAATAATAAATAAACGATGCAAAAATAATTTCCATGTACTCCAGCTGCTCAATTTGAATAACATACGAATTTGTAATTGTCCACCACAAACGTGCACATTTTATTGCCTTCGCAAAAGCTCAATTAGCTTCAGAAACAAGCTCAGTCATTTAAAGTAGCACTTACTTACCTCACAACTTATTCAGCTATTTGTATGTGGATCATGAAGCACCAAACTAACTTACCAGCCTTATATTTTTCTATTAGAAGCTGCTTCTTTGATCTTAGACACAGCAAAGTTGTCAGAGAAGCAGCTTCTGACAGAATATAAAGGCGCGCAAGCTCGTCTTTGCATTTTTAATCCATATTCGCGTGTTTTGAAGAGCAGCCGGCTGGTTTCCTCAGCAGACAGAGCTCCTCTCTGATGTGTGAGGCAGTTTGAGCCCCTACCTGTGCTGAGCAGACACGCTCCGGTCACTCGCTCCGCAAACCGCGTCGTTTCTCGCCGGCGTCGTTTAAAATGAGCGAAACAGCAGAGAAAATATGTGAATATCGGAACCGCCACCGTCTCCCAGCGACCACAGCGTAGAGAGATGAAGTCGGCAGGGGAGAAGAGCAGCTCAGGTGCGCTCACTCCCTCCATCCGGACTTTCGCCTCGCGCCCGTATGTGTGTGTGTAGCGGTGTTCCAGTGTGTGTTAGAGGGGGCGTGGCCTATTTCTCGCGCAGGTTTCGTCGTTTCAAGTGATAAAGTGAAACCTCATCTCCCGTGTTACAGTAGGAGCTAATAGCATGTACACCTATACCCTCTTCTACTTTCTGTTCTCTTTGCTTTTCTGGGTCATAATGAAATGGTAGAGGTGTGAACAGAGTCAGAATGGTTCACAGTGGTGGTGATAGGAACCAGGTATCTGGAGGTATCTGAAGAGGCCTCTGAAAGCTCCTCCACAGAAAGTCATTATATTAGGTGGTTATGAATGCCTGATGTCTGAGACGTTTTTGCCAGTCAGGATTTCCAGCAGATCCCTAAACAAACTGAACAACTCCAATATCTCATCTGGAATGGATGTGTTTACTTTAGAAGCTGAATAAGGAGGCAAGAACTCCACAGCTGCAAGAACTACACAGCAAGAATGTTTTTTGCTAAGAAACATTCAGAAAGCCAGAATCAAAACAAGCCACTTCCAGGTCAAACTAATGTAAAGCCCTCCTGACAATGAATGCTCATGCTCAGGAAATCGTCTCAGGTTAACAACCGGAGAATGTTATTATATATGGTTCTGCTATGGTTACAATGTCAAGCTTGTAACAGTAGAAGAGCCCTTTTTGGTCCTATATAGAACCATCTTCAAAAAGAGCCATATATGCAACACATTCTCCATTGATCTGAAGAACAGTTTCACCATGCAAAGAATCACTGAAGCATGGAATGGTTCTATGTAGAACTCATGGTTCTATATAGAACCATTCCCTTTACTAAAGAACCTTTGAAGAACCATCTTTTTTAAAAGTTTATGAGTGTTTCCTCACAAGAAAAAGTGATTGATGTGAAGTCTGACTAAACAAACTCAGTAAACAATCAATCAAAAAGACTAACCATTGTTAACCAGGGCAAAAGACATGTTTTTTACATGTTTACATGTTAGATATGTTTATGGATTTACACAATGAATCTTCCTGGAACACATGCACAATAGAATGTATATAGTAATAATAATAATAATAATAATAATGATAATAATAATAATATAATACACACACACATTTTCTAAACCACTTATCCTTCTGGGTCGTGGTGCCTAAAGCCTATCCCAGCAGTCACTGGGCAGAAGGCAGGACACACCCTGGACAGGTTGCCAGTCCATCACACACAGACATATACATCCACACATACTTTCACACCTAGGGGCAATTTAGCATCTCCATTTGGCCTGACTGCGTGTCTCTGGACTGTGAGAGGAAATCCATGCAGACACAGGGAGAGCATGCAAACTCCACACAGAAAGGAGCCTGGTTGCCCATCCAGGGAACTGAACCTAGGCCCTTCTCGCTGTGAGATGACAGCACTACCCACTGCATAATAATAATAATAATAATTACATCCATATTTTCTGAGGTATTTATTTACTTAAAAATACACCTTGACCTCAAAAAATGTTATTATCCACAGTGTCTCAGATAAAACCTATATCTATATATTGGCTAGTCCAGTTGAAGTCCATGTAGGTTTTCCTGGGCAGCCCAACTGGGCCCCAGTAACAACCCATGTGCAAACCCAAGCAGAGCCCATGGAACCCAAAATGAACCTATCTGACCCACGTTCAGGGTCCCACATAAATGTTTCAGATAGGTTCACTAGTTGTTTTGGATAGTAAATAAAATGGTCATAATTGATTGTACACCTTGCAACCCTTAGTTCCTATCACCACCATTATAAGGAAATCTGTGTCAGTTTCTCTACAATGCACCATGTCACATTAAACCACTCTGAATGACTGCTCATATCTCAAACATTTAAAATTATGCAAAACCTTTGACAACTTGCTGTAATTCCCTTTGGCTCTTACAATTACTTGGAAAGGTTATATATAAATAAAAGCACTTCTATAAATATCATATATAAAGCACTTCTACGAAGAAATGTGCTCTGTACTGTCATCATTGAGCACTACTGCCCAAACACCCAAAACATGACTTACACACTGAAAATGTAATAAAGTCTGTATGTGCTGACTTTATTTGATTGAATGGAAACATGGCATAATTACATCCATGTATGTTTTTGTTTTTGTTTTGGCAAGTCTATTGTCATTTTGTTGGAGACAAAGTCAAAAACTTAGCCATCAACTTGGTCTCTTTGCTAGAGGTGGATGGAAGGAAGTGCTGAGTTAATAATGGGGTGTAGTTTAGTAGATGAAGGAGAACTGAAATGCTGGACCTCAGCATTTCTCTCCTCTTCTCTTCCTTCACTCTCACATGGAGATAGTATAGCACTGTTTTGTAGAACTTCCGATAAATAATTTGATATCACTGAAGATGGGCTAATGTCTGTCATATGTGCAGCATGATTCAAAAGTTAGGAACCACTTAAATATCTGTGAGGTGCTTAAAGATAGACTAATAACATCATTAACATTATATAGTAGCCCAGTGGTTCCCAGCCCTGCTCTCAGAGTATCCTCTGTCCTTCACATTTTAGTGTTTACCCTCCCCCCAAACCCACCTGAGCCAGCTAATGAGTTTATTAACAAGCCTTTCATGAACTGAAGTGGGTCTGTTAGGAGAACTAACACTACAATTCGCACGGCAGGGGCTACACCAGGACCAGGATTGGATAAGTACACCTGATGGTATAAAACATAAGGGTAATGATGAGATTGTGCCAACTGTATGTCTATATGTCCGATATTTGGGTGTTTCTTGACTGTTGACTCTCACACACACACAAGTATGTTAAAGTATGTGTAAACTCACTTATAAAAACATAAAGGGTTGTATAGGTACATAATATAAACAGAAAGAGACATCACTGAATGCTAATGCCAATAAAAAAACCCTTCTTTGATTTTGACTTAATCTTAGAAAAGACAGTATTATACTGAAGCTCAGTGTACTTTTGCTCAAAATGGTGACCTCTAGTGGTTGGAAAAATAAATGTCATCACCAGCCATTACAGTAAAATGTGATTCATGTAATTCTTTGGATGATCCACACAGAAATAAGGTGTTTTTCCCTGAACATAGTTTTTTTTCCCTTCATATCGTATGTTGTCTCTGCCAATAAAAGAAAAGCAAATCAGTTCTGTGGTTGTGAAAGATCAATCAGGTGGTCGGTCTTGTTATCGATATATCCATACTGATGACCTCACCAGAAACAACAGCACAAGTCCTGCAGTTTTTACTATAAACTCCAGACTGGAGTGTTTTTCAGGTGCGTTGAGGTGACCGAGCTGGTTCTTGCAAGCTGAAAGCACAAAGGCTTCAGCTCCTTCCTCAAATCATTAATCTCACTAATCAGAGTAATGTTCTCCTGCACAGGAACACACACAGCCACACACAAACAGCAATGTAAACAGGCAGACGAATGTTCTTACAAACACACATCTATTAATCACTTCTGCATAATCGCCTGCTCTCTCTAAATGTCTGTAAACATTCATACTTTAAGGTGGAAACTAAATACAGCATATTTTAATAGATTCACAGAGATGGAGTTTTACTGAGTGACAAAATTTCTAGAAATTCCAAGACAGAAGAATTTAGGTTAGGTTGACAGTACACACCTTCATATGCATTCAGAATACTGAACATTCTAAAACAGTGAAATTGTGAAATTCTGGACACAATACAAAAGCTGCACCCTATCAAAGAAATGCATTCAGAAGAAATACATGCAGAGAGAAGGTTCTTCTGCCATAGCAGAATCGTTCTTGTTTCTCTAAAGAACCTTTGTTTGACTGAGTCTGAAGAACCTTTTTAAAATTTAAAGAACCTCCACTTAACATAAACATTCTGGGGAGAACCCTTAATTTGGTAAAGAACCTTCACAATGTGCCTGTACTGAGAGAAACATGTTACAAACAAATTTCAATGCATTTAAATGTCTTCTGGTAGAATTCTGTGGTTCTCTGAGCGATATGTGGCTTGATCCTTGGTCAGCTTAGTCTTGAGAGGATCCATGTTCTTCTCCATGTATTCCCCGTGATGAGTGAACTCCTTCGGAATATTTTCATCCATGCTTACTGTGTCCATCTGCCGTACACACACATTCATTTGCAGGCCCTTCTTTTTGTACAGCATTATATTCTGGAATTTTCTAAAATCTGACCATGTCGTACTGCTGGGCATTGTGCTGGTGAAGCTCGCCAGTGTTCATCTTCAGTTTCATGGGCTCCTGGTTCAAACCCATGTAGTGATGGAGGTCAGTCTGAAACCTGCACACCAGCACTTCCACACTGCACACCAGTTGGTTAGTTACTGTTAGTACTGTTAGTAGGACAGTTAGTACTGTGTATTAATGTGTCACACTAAATGCACAGTTAAAATAACCCACAGGCTTATTATTTGGTTATTCATCTTATTATTAATTCCTTTGCAGTGAAAATGTTTGTTTTAGTGCATAAAGCTAGTAAAAAAACATGATTGTAATGTTGCAGTTCTTTTTTATAGTGTAGCTACTACTAAAATGAATTTTATCTCTGATCCTCATCTCCACAACCCCTGAACTTAAATGCCCCATCATCTGCATCTTCTTGTCACTGGTGCTGAGTCTGAGCTTGAGTTCAGCCATGGCCTGCCTTTGCTCTGTGTTTCTCTAGTGGAAAGTGTTCAGTTCTTTCTCCATCTACAAAAAAAAGGAGATCAACTATCGATCTCTCTGTCTCTCTCTGTCTCTCTCTCTCTCTGTCTCTCTCTCTCTGTCTCTCTCTCTCTCTCTCTCTCTCTCTCTCTCTCTCTGTCTCTCTCTCTCTCTCTCTCTCTCTCTCGAGCTGCAGTTAGTGCTGATCTGTTTCACCTCACCAGTATCTTAGGCTCATTTGAATTCTAATTGCCAAGGCAAGCCTTGATGTGACATGCTACATTTTGTGCAAGGCTGTTTTCTGTCGATGCTTAGCCAATACAGCGCATTAAGCATCTACAAATGTAGTCTAAGCGTATATGGGATTAGTATAGAGTTAAGTGTATATATATGTT